ATTAATTTTAAAATTTGTTAAAGAACTTGACTCAAAGCATATGTATTACTCTCTAGACTGCTTAATAGCCCCAACAATCAAAATAAAAAATGGTAAGCCCCAACAATCAAAATAAAAAATGAAGTAATTTTTTCCCACAAGACCTAAATTTAATATACACGTATTTAGGGATTCAGCACTTGTGGCATTAGTATAACAAGGTTATTGTATAAATAATTAAATCCCATTATTAAAACAAATCATTACAAAAAGATAAAAAAAATTATATTTTTGACGATATTAATATATTACAAAAACATTATTTTTTAGCTCGTTTTAATGTCGCCAATTGCATACTTGATGTTGCTTGCATCATAACCAATTTTGCCACCAATAAAAGTATCTAAAGAAATAATATTTATCACAAAATTGTCAGTCAATTATAAAGTATGTTTTAGAAAACCAAAAATAAACAATTAAATTCAAAAGCAAAGTAAAGAAACTTTGCTTTTTAATTTGATTTCCAAAAACTCAACAAACGAAAAGACACCAACAATAAAAATTTATGTTAAAATATTTGTTATTAGTTTTAGAAAATCATCAATAAAAAAACTAAATTAAAATAAAAAACAAATATATTTGCAAATAATGAATAGAAGAAAATGAGAAATGTACTACTGTTTCACGTTCTGCTATTTACTGTTAACAAAAATATTTTAGTCTTACATAAGATTCAATAGCTACAAACTCGCATTCAATGCTCACCTTTTATGCATTTATAATGAGTGCTCGTAAATTTTCTTTTTTCTTCTATATATATATATATCGGGATATATCCAAATATATTCCGATATATATATATATATATATATATATATATATATATATATATATATATATATATATATATATATATATACATATATATATATATATATATATATATATATATATATATATATATATATATATATATATATATATATATATCGGGATATATATATATCGGGATATATATATATATATATATATATATATATATATATATATATCCCGAGAAAAAAAACCGGCTAATCCTCCTAAGTTCCTAATAAGTTTCCTACTAAAACTTAGTAAGTTCCCGCCGAGTACTTACTAGGAACTTAGTAGGATTAGCAGGTTTTAGTAGAAAACTTAGTAGGATTAGCAAGTTTTAGTAGTGTTGTGACCAAAACTAAAAATTGTAACTAACTAAACTAAAAATACCGTAACTAAAATTAGTTGAATAACTTTTTAGTTAACTAAAATTAGTCAACTAACTTTTTAGTTTACTAAAATCAGTCGACTAACTTTTGAGTTAACTAAAATCAGTCGACTAACTTTTTAGTTGACTAAAATTACGCGACTAACTTTTTAGTTAACTAAAATTACGCGACTAACTTTTTAGTTAACTAAAATTACCCGACTAACTTTTTAGTTAACTAAAATCAGTCGACTAACTTTTTAGTTAACTAAAATCAGTCGACTAACTTTTTAGTTAACTAAAATCGGTCGACTAACTTTTTAGTTAACGAAAATTACCAGACTAACTTTTTAGTTAACTAAAATTAACCGACTAAGCTTTTTGTTAACTAAACATACGCGACTTTGTTTTTAGTCCAACTAAAGAATTTTATAAATATATAATATAAATAATTTAGGTTTATGATATCATTTCTATTAGAATTTTTGAATAAGATTGCGAATGCATAATCATTTTATCGCATAACACCGCAAAAATAAAAAAGTATCAAAATAATTTTCTTTCAATTTTCAGTTCCAAAGGTTTAGTATAAGTGTATCAAGATACTTCAAGAAAATATTATTAACAAGATACTTCAAGAAAATTTTTCATAAAAAATCCAAAAAGTAAACATAGTAAAACACAAATATCTATAGAATTGAATAAGCTACCAAGGCCAACGCAAAGGGGTGTAAGGATGGGTTGGTTGGTTTCGTGTGTGACATCCCATCAATGAACTTTTAGCTCATTTAGTAAGCCAATTTGACTCTTTTAGATAAGTAAGTTGGCAAATGTAGATTTTCAGAACAGTCAGTTGGTAAATTTAAAAAAAAAAAAAAAAAAATTTTTCCTTTTTCTAGTAAGTAAAATTTTAACGGCACTCTCTACGTGTTACCTACTTGTGCCGGCCCTGTAAGCTTCAGTATATTACAATAATTCGGTTTTATTATGTGCCACTTTTTTAGATCCAAATTATAAATGTTTTCAATTCTTTGAAAAGTACAAGGGAAAAAAATTTTTTTAATGCGTTATAGAATTTTTGTCGAAATTTCATTAAACAAAAAAAGTTTGTGATATAATTTTATTTAAAAAGGTGACAAACACGTTAAAAAAATTTAAGTTATCATTTGACGATGAAGATGATATTTCCGGAAACGATAGTGACAAAATAATAAGTTTAGATTTAAAAAGAGAAATTAGTGGTTATATAAAATTGTCAGTAAATGAGCAAAATGTTTTTACACTTTTGGCATCAAAATTAACATGTATTTCCAATAATGTATTGTATTTCAACAATAATTTTATGTACGCCTGCTACCAGTGCACTAAGTGAACACCTTTTCTCTGAGGCATTAAACACTTATGCATGCAAAGCGAAACGTATGCAAACTTATTCTTACGTATGCAAAGCAAAACAGAATAACAACTGAATGTTTTTAAATATTGATGTTTTTGTACGAAAATTTGGAATTTTTTAACTTAGTTTAAATTCATTAAATTTAATACTGAAGTTTTTTCTTGTAATAAATATTTTTTAATATATTTATTGTTCTAAAAGAAATATTATTAAATTTAGTATTCGAACTCTTTTGTGTAAAACTGATTTTTTTTTTTTTTTGATACAAAAAATTAAAAAATTAATATAGTTTTTTAAATTAAAAATATGTTTAAAAAAAAGATAAAGAAAAAATTGAAAATTAAAAAAATTAATGTGTGATTTTAATGTTCTTGAGCGTGCGGTTTTATTATAATGTTGCCTAAAACAGCAAACTTTTTTACCTTTATTTTTTTAATAGTTTGGTTGTTTTTTTTAATATTTATTTATATGTTCTTTAGTATTTTTTTAAACATCTATCTAATGAAAAAATATAAAAATAAATATAATAAAAAAGTTATTGAATTTTAATTAATAATTGTTTCGACCCGGTTTTACACGTATTTTAAAGTGCGTATTGCATTTTTCAAGTAATTAAAATGTCATAAACAATTTCCTGGTTTTAAAAGCGACCGCAGTTACTTAATAAAATGTTTTCATTATTCAACAGTTAAGTATTATTTAATACATTTTATACACTATTCAACAATTTATATTGCGGATATTGCATTCAAAAATGCAAATACCAATATTCCTTTTAAATTTTGCAAGTATCGCTAACCGACGAACAACTATACTCTGAAAGCAAAAAAAAATAAATTCATAATAACTTATTTAACGATTTCCTTTTGGGTTCATGTCAATACTTTCGCCTGCCTTACTATAGTGTTTGCGGGTTGTAATAGCCGTTAGGAGAGGTTGATATTTTAAGAGGTGGGAAGGGGGAGTCATAGATTTGTTGTGAAAATTAGAGGTTGAATCCATTCCTATAATATGGCAGGGGACAGGGCTGTACTGAACAACGAAGACGTAGGGGGAGGGAGTGCAAATGAAATAAGCTTTTTTACCATAAAAATCTCACCAAAGTAGGGCTTTTTTTTATTTAAAAGCCAAGTTGCAGTTTTAACCGACCGAGTCTCAAATTTTCTAAATTACCGACAAAACCGACAGAATGTTGTAACCCCGGGAAGATGCCCATACTCACGTCGGTACGGCCTTCGCAGGAGAGATTATTTTTGATTTGCGATTGTTATTGCACACTACCTATAGGAAGCAGCACATAAAAAATATAAGTTAAACGTTCAATAAGCATTTGTATATTCCATGCTGGTTGGGTGTTTATAAACAGTTGCAACAACTTTATAGGCAGTTGTCTCAGAGCTGGGAAAAAATTAAAATAATCGAATTTTGCTTAAAACATTTCTTTTGAATAACAGTTTAGATCGACTGGGCTCTAGAATTCACAACTAGTAAATTGTTTAATTACAATAAAATAATATTTATCGCCTTAATAATGCTTCCTCGTGTGTAAAATTTTTATGCGAAAGATTATTTCTTTTTTCAAGCACTAAATCTTGCTTTAGTCGACTAAATTTAGTTACACTAAATAATTAGTCGACTAATTTGAGTTAACCAAAAAGTTAGTCGCTTAATTTTAGTAAGACTAAAAAGTTAGTCGCTTTTAATTTTAGTTAACTAAAAAGTTAGTCGGGTAATTTTAGTTAACTAAAAAGTTAGTCGGGTAATTTTAGTTAACTAGGAAGTTAGTCGCGTAATTTTAGTTAACTAAAAAGTTAGTCGCGTAATTTTAGTTAACTAATAAATTAGTCGACTGATTTTAGTTAACTAAAAAGTTAGTTAACTAATTTTAGTTAGACTAAAAATTTAGTTAAGTATTTTTAGTTAGACTAAAACTAACCTTAACTCCCACCCCTAAGTTTTAGTAGGAAACTTAGTAGGATTAGCAGGTTTTAGTAGGAAACTTAGTAGGATAAGCAAGTTTTTAGTAGGAAACTTACTAGAATTAGCAAGTTTTTAGAAGGAAACTTAGTAGGATTACTAGGGTTTTTATTCGGAACTTAGTAGGTACTTAACAGGATTAGTAGGTTTTTTTTCTCGGTTAAGTATTACTTCTAGTTTTAGTTAATAGTTTTTTTAGTTACATTCATATTTTTATTAGGGTTTTATTTAATTATTTGAGTTTTAAAGATTTCATAGTTATATTAGTAGGGTTATTTTTCAAGAAATATACGAGTTTAAGTAAAAATAATAATTTTTGCTTAAACACAGATTCTTCTTGAAAATATAATCCTTCTAATATAATTTAACTAGTCGCTAAGCAATAAGGACGCTTATTTATAACACATTAATAAAAATAACAAATAATAAAGTGTTAGATTGTTTAACTAAAACATTTAAAAAAATACAACAAACAGCGATGGTCAGTTCTTTTGGCAATTTCGCAAGTGCCAGTGGAATAATTGCACCCATAAGATTTGTCTTAATCTTTTACGACCGTAACTGTAGCTATAACGTAATTTAAAAAAATATTAATGCAACTCAACAACCTAATAACATATATTTTACAATAAAAAAGCATATTTTACTCACCATAAATTTAGAACAATGAAAAACTTTCATTGTCATTGTTTCAAAGCTATTATAATCTAAAATTTAAAAATAAAAGTGTATGAAAATATGAAATTAAATTAAATTAAAAAAATTTAAATAAGCCTCGTGTGTGTGTGTGTGTGCGTATACATATACACATACATATACATGTCAAAATGGTACAAAAAGAAATCTGAATTAGATCATTGTTAACAACAAACTCTTGTCGCCATTATGAATTAAGTTTGATGTTTCATTAATTAACTGATTTCAAACAGAATCCTAAATAACAACTTTGAATAAAAAGAATATTGTAAAGTAAATATGTAATAATACAAAAAAAAAAAAAATAATACAATTTCAAACTTTAAAAAATAGAAATAAAACCTAATCATGTTCATAATTATTTTTAACAATAACACCATAAAAAAATTTCTTTGTTTTTTTTTACAAGAGCATAGTGAGTAAATTTGCTTGAATCAAAAACAGCTAATCCAGACTTTTTCAACAACAAATAAGGAGATATTTTTAACAAAACATGCCTGATTTTGGTAGGAATATTAAAAGAATCCATATGACGATGAAACTTACTTACATTTTTATACAATCGACATATACACAAAATTTTTTTTTGATTATGTGCAATGAACAAAATTTTCAATATCACATTAAATTCTATTAATAAATATGCATAATATGAAGCGGATTTTAGTTTTTTACCATAATGATAAGCACTATCAGCAACTCTAAAACGGTTATAAAACTTATAAAGATTTAGGTCAACATTTAAATCATTCAAATCCATATTCCGCAACTTTTCTGATACATTTTGTGCTGCACCTAACTCAAAAGGATTCAAAGAAAAAATATTTAAGTGGTCTTCTGCCTGAAATCTAACAAATTTTTCAGCCATTTGTCTTCCATGGCCTTTAGTTCCTGTAACAGACCTCTTTAGTTGGCGATTTACATTTTCAAACAACATAGCTGACATTGCTGTAAGAGGTCCAAAATTTTTTACTTGTTTAGAGAGATGTGCTAATGCATGGAAAGTGAATGTGCGAATACCTTCACCAAAATAAGAGCATAATGCCTTTTGAAATAAATATATTAGTTGCTGACAAGCATCAATATCCTTTGATGAAACAATTTCATTGGATAATGTATAAATAGATGTTGAAAGCATTAAATAAAGAGAACAAATTTCAGCATTACCAAGTTTGTAAAACACAAATGGCCCATAATACAATAGAAAATACTTGTGCACTTGAGCTTTCCACTTAACAAGTTCATTATTCATATTTTTTAGCTTCCGTCAAGGAAAATATGGTAATTTTATGGAGTCTATTGTTATATAGCAATATATGGAGTCTATTATTATATCGTATAGTAATAATTTTTAAAAAAATAATAATAGACTCCATAAAATTGCATTAACTATGGCAATATTATGGAGTCTATTATTAATTTTTTAAAAAATAGCACCTAAAAACTCTTTGCGCCAGAGTGAAAGTCACCCATTATACTCTGCTAGCCCAAACCCTAATACACTACTTAGCAGCGACAATTATAGTTTAAAAAAT